GCAGATATAAGCCAAGTATTCACAAGTAATCTGCTTCCACTATCAAGTTTCCATAAGCTCATCTTCCTGTTTGTTTGCAGGAGATAGCTGCAGTAAACCAAATAAATGGAGTAGTTTGGCTATAAGAGCATTTGCAAAATTAGTCCCTCATCCAAGATAAATTAGCTGCAACCATCAACTGTTGGATGCACTCATTTTTATTTTGGATATACTTAAATAATGATAAATTTAACCAGGCGACAGAGATATGTGTATGATCTTAAATATTTGAATCTAATAACTAATATATACGTATTAATTTCAAAGCAATATTAAATTCCTTGAAAATACTCTCATAGACAGAGGTAAGGCAAATTTGCCTACTTAAGTTTATCCGTATCAATAAGACAAGATTTACTTTCATTCCAATATCGTTTGTTATATTTAACAGCCCTATATCGATTAAGAGTTGAACAACCAGAGCAGATTCAATAAGGGTCAGGTCAACCGAATAATGAACTGAGAAGACCTTATTGGTAGGACCGAAATTAAAATTAAAAAGTGATCACACGGATCAGGGGTACATTGAAGCCGACGAAAATAAATAAATCGTAGACCAAGTTACGAAAACAAGGTCGAGACAACACTGAAAATAAATAAAATTTATAAAAAGCTTCATGTCCTAGATTATCTATTAGAGTATCTATAAAATCCCAAAAAATCAGTCAATTGTGTACACCAAAATTAAGCAGACAGTTATGCGAAATAAAACAGATTTTAAATGAATCAAAATTAATATAAAATATTAAGTCAGAGAAAATTGCATTTTTGATGTAATCGTTATATCGAAGGTGAAAAATACTGAGTTTCACAGTAAAGAAGATTAAAACGTCTTATCAACAATGAGAGAGTAATGATAAACCAGAATTCAAAAACCATTATTTATCAAATCTTCGGGAGATTTAAAGATTACATTTAGTATGGAATCTAATTTCTAAATCGAAATTATGAACGCACTAAACGTTGGTTTTTGTAGTTGCGACTTACTAACTCCTCCTTGGGTATAATGGATAATTCAGAAGAGATCTTAAGATTCTTTTCCGTACTTGATTCATCCTCAAACTTCGGATCATCCAGTTTCAGAAGTTCAGTGGACTCAAATGCATGAGGAAGGATGGTTGGCTCAGCCTTGACGTGCGAGGATGCTGGCGTATCCTTTATACTACTCGCCTTATAGGTTCGCTGGCTGTTAATGGATTCAAGTGTGACGACTGCCGTTGAACTAGGTTCGGTTAGAGATGAAGCTGTTAAATCAGTCATAGACACGGGTTTGAATTCGGCTGAAGTGAGCCAATGTTCGGGACAGGCAGCCACAGCGTTGATAAGAAGTGGACGCAATTGTATAATTGATTCACGGAGACGGGACTCGCGAGCGCCACGTTGGTTGAGTGTCGCTTCGAGTCTGTCAATTGTGCGTTGGGCTCGTGACAGCCGATCAGAGGTAATACCTGAATCAAGACTAGGATCTGGAGGCTCGGAGATTCCGGTGTGAATAGATTCCGTCGGGGAGACAGGAGCAAGAAAAGACCAGGTAACCGGATTGTTACGAAAGCGTTCAACCTGTGCGACTGCTGGGTGTTGAAGATGTTGATGCAGTTCAGAAGGACGAACGCGTTCCTGAAACAATACCACAAAATGATAGTAATAAGCCGTAATGAATGCTGATGTTAGA